GTATTTTCGGTATTTTTTTTTTCTTTTTTTTGCAAATTCGTAAAAAATTATATTTAAATATAATAACCAATAATAATAAAATATATCATTGTAAGTTTGTGGAGCCAAGTATTTTAATTAAAGTATTTTCCATTTGGTCAAACTTGAATTCATTTCTCCCCACCTTCAACCATCCCCCAGTGGAAAGATCTGGATTCAATAGCGTCTATAAGTTTATCGACTCTTGGGCTATTCAAATTGAACAGTTGTGTTGGACAGTCACTTTAACAATACATACACCACCTCAAAGGCTGGAGCATAATATTTTTAATGGCCAAAAAACAAACATGCTAAGAACACTTGGATTCAAAGTCCAGCATGGCAACTACTAAGCCATGCTAAGCCTAAGCTGTTGGGAGCTTTATGTGGACTTAAATATGTATCATTATTACCTATTAATGTTACTGTGGCAGATATTAACAATCACAAGTACAATTACACTCCATAGAATTAAGGAATAACTTGTCAATCTTGAATAATTTTATTTTCCTTATATTATAAACCACTGGATTTAATAAAAAGATATAGCTAGTTTATATTGCTGTAAGAAGAAATTGTTTAGTAGTCAGGCCACTGACACAGCTAAACAATGTGACATACAATGTGTGCAGAGCACACTACCAGCATGTCATTTCTAAGGGGATCTAGGGGCATGGTCTCCTAGAAGATTTAATGTTATGGGATTGAATCTTGAGCCATTTTAATTACAAATAATGTATTGAATTAAAAGAAACAAGTTTTAATACATAAGTTGTAGCTATATATGCCATGATAAAGAGGTCAGGCCATAGCCTGACTGGCCTTGCCACTTCCTACAGCCCTGCATATCAGAGCAATACCCCAAAAAATATCAAAATTTGAAATAAAATGTATTGACAATGTGAGCTGTAGATAACATAAGCTAAGCCCTTCTATAATATAGTATATGTGTTTATTAACATAAGCTAAGCCCTTCTATAATATAGTATATGTGTTTATTAACATAAGCTAAGCCCTTCTATAATATAGTATGTGTTTATTAACATAAGCTAAGCCCTTCTATAATATAGTATATGTGTTTATTAACATAAGCTAAGCCCTTCTATAATATAGTATGTGTTTATTAACATAAGCTAAGCCCTTCTATAATATAGTATATGTGTTTATTAACATAAGCTAAGCCCTTCTATAATATAGTATACGTGTTTAATGGCTCAGCAATAAGTCTGAAGGCTTAGAACTCTAAATACTGGGTTTTGATACCTGTGGTAGACACAGCACAGATAGCCCATTGTGTAGCTTTGTGCTTAACAATAAACAAATAACCTGTATTTAATTTCCAGTTCTAGATAAACAGCATGTACACAACCTTGAACTGTGCATTACTTTCACACATTTGCAGGTTTGGGGCAAGATTTGTTTATTTTCTACACTTAACCAATATTATGGATAGATCGTTAATCTGGCTTTAATTAGCTGACCAGCATATTAGTTATAAGTGGAGACAGGAAAGTCAGAAACCCTGGTATCCTTTTTTTGTTAATGTGGCTTGCCTCATGATATGGCATTCTTGAAAGTTCTGTTGAAGCTCAGGATTGTAATATAATTCTTAACAAAGATTTGCACTTGCAGCTGTTAATATAAATAGCTGACATGAAACTAAATGGTATTCATATTATTATAAAACAGTTTTGTTTTAAGCAAACACGTGCTTGTTTTTTTTGTTCAGCAATGTATTTTCTTTAATGAAAACCTTAGATTCAGTCTTTATATTTTTGGTTGAGTCAAACGTTTTTAAAAATTCTCATTGAAAATAATTTAATCTTTCATTTTTGTGGCCTTTAATACCTTACCTTTAAAGTGTAACTTATAACATCATCACTAAAAGTTCAAACTTTAATAATAATAATAATAATAAT